TTATTTCATATTTTGTGTATACAGTAATTTGCAACATGTATAATATTAGACCTTTCATTGACATTGTCCATTGAGGGCTTTATTGAAGAATAATCCAGCTTCTTGAGACTTGTATAATGGATTAATGCCGCTGTGAGTTATCAATATTTAAATCAACTTTAATCTTTATCGGCGTATTCCGTAACCAATATTTTAGAAGTTTAGTCTGTTTTACCAAACAATACTGGAGGCAAACAACCTATCTATCCATGGAAACTTTAAAAGGTTTGTTACAGTAAAACTCATTAATAAGCGAGACTTCGTGTGCATATACAGTTTATGAATTATGTATATCCTGATAAAACGTAGGACACTTTATACCAGATGTAATAAAAAATACTTTGCTAAACCTTTTCTGCTGTCCTTCCTTTGCATTTAAGGGGGGAGGGTAAATGGCGATAGAATTTATAGGATATGCTGTGCAATATTTTGGCTTCAACAAACAGGTAGTACTCGTGCAGATCGACAAAAAAGGAAATTCATGCAGTTGTGAATTGTCGTATGTCAGCTGTGCACTGACACCCACTGTCGATTTCAAACAATTTTGTACGTTATATTTTGTCTTCCTGGTGTTTAACATAAACGATGATAACCTTTTAAAAAAATCTAGAGCAATATGTCTATAAACAGTTTTAGAATCAATAAAATGGACATTCAATGTGTATTTGGCTTGTGTCCAAATGTGTCACGTTTAAGACCGGCAAGGCGCTAATCCTACGACCTATAAACAGTCGCTTTTGAGACATCTGTTTAAAACATTTATACCGTGTCCATATCAGAACAATTCATTGGCATATTATAAGCATATTATAAATATCAGAGCCAGAACAGAAACGTACGCGTGAAATGAAACTACGCCCGAACCGGCGAAGTCCGAGAAAATAAAAATATTTCAAAGCGTACAGCCATACGTTCTCGTTGCTTGATTTCCTGAATTTTCTATTGCTATAAGAATCTACATTTTAGCATGTTTGTATAATTTCAAAGCAAACAGAAACCAATTCAGCAAGTAGTTTGAGGTATATATGATTCTTGAAGGTGAATTAGATGATTGTACAGAACGGCCACTCCTTGCAATCGAAGTGCGGAAGTGGAAACATCTAATATGAGACTTTTCCATCCCCCCCTTCGGCTATCAATTTTGTATGTGTGACGTCATAAGCCCCGACCAGGGTCTTTGCTTCCCAAGAGCAAAGAGCCTGGGAACGAGGTTGGTTTTTGGCCACACACTTTCGTCGAGAGCCCGATCTCCAGATATATAAGTATAGCTCAGTGACTTTACCCCTGAAGAATTCCAGGGATCCTCGACAGGGGGGGGGGGTACGGATATTAAATGGAATAGCCCAATGCACCCTGGCCAGTTGGTCTGAACAAATTTATCAGCCGAAGCATAAAACGTCAATTACAAATTGTTTAATATCTTATATGGCATGCTGCTTATTAAACCTACCTATTCACTCAAAAACGTAAATAATTGTTTTAGTACTGTAGTAAGTGACCATTTTATACTGAAAAATCAAAATTACTTTGTAATATCTAGAGTATAGACAGACAGTGTAGTGTGTTGTGTTCTGACGCTCGCTTGGCTCTGATTTTCGACGGTGAAAATGTCAAATTATTTACCAGCGATTTAGTTTCTTTCAACATCCAAATGTTCTTCATTCTTCTATGATGTGTGCTTGTTCTCGAAATACCAGATTTGACTTGATTTCTTCGCATACTTATCGAGTATAAGGCGAAAACTCGGAAAAATATCAGTTTTACAATAGAAATCTACAGTCAAAATGTTTATAATTATATCAGTGGAAGCACAAGCTATGCGCGCAATGCCACATGGGATACTAAAAAACTTTTTTTTGTTATTTTCCCTTGAATTATATTTTAAAATTGTATTACATTTCAAATTAATTTTGATAGCGATAGGCCGATAAAATTTATATTCATTTTAATTTTCATTTTGGAAAAAAAAAGCAATTTATTTTGAAAAAACTTTTTTTTGTTATTTTCCCTTGAATTATATTTTAAAATTGTATTACATTTCAAATTAATTTTGATAGCGATAGGCCGATAAAATTTATATTCATTTTAATTTTCATTTTGATTTTATTTTCATTTTGATTTTGATTTTATTTTGATTTGATTTTCATTTTTATTTTGATTTTAGTTTCATTTTGAGTTTGATTTTATTTTCATTTTCATTTTGTTTTTATTTTATTTTATATAATAACAAAAAAATGAATGATAGCGATCGGCCACCATAAACCATCAACTCCCTAGCTAACCATTTTACAGATACTATTAACAAAGCAGCTACGAGTTTAATATCTTTCAAAAAATTGAAGAAGAATTCCAATAAGGTGGGAACGAATTCAATTCCAAAGCAGAATTGGTTTGATAATAACTGTTACCGTCTTAAAAAAGAACTACGAAACTTAGGGAAGCTATTATCTAAACAACCAAATAACCCTTTTGTAAGACACTTGTTCTTCACCAAGAAAAAAGAATACAAGAAATTAACTAGAAAACTTAAGAGGAATTTTTATAGCAATATATTGGATAAAATTAAAATCCTGGCGGATAGCAATCCGAAAGCGTTTTGGAACCTTGTTAACTCAATTAAATCCAATCGTACTAGTGGTTCCAACGAAATATCGCCCGTTGAGTGGTTTAACTATTTTCACGACCTAAATAAGACTAATTTTTCCTCTGAGAGCACTAGCACTGAGTCTCGAATAGTCGCCGATATTAACCTTTGGGCGACCAGTGGTGTTGAGATTCTTGACAAACCAATTTCTTTAAAAGAAATTCACGACATCTCTAGAAAACTCAAACCTAACAAAGCAAGCGCAAACGATTCACTTAATAATGAAATTATTAAAATATCATCCATTCTCACTATGTGAAACTATTTAATAAGATTTTATCTAGTGGAGTTTTTCCAAAAATATGGTCGGAAGGCCTTATTACTCCTATACACAAATCGGGAAATAAAACTGATCCTGGAAATTACAGAGGTATATGCATCTCTAGCTGTCTAGAAAAATTTTTCACTTCAATTCTTAATGCACGTTTAAATGTTTTTCTAGAAGAAAACAGTATTTTGAACAAGTACCAAATTGGTTTTAGACATGGTTTTCGTACGTCTGATCATCTGCTCGTTCTTAAAACATTAATAGACTCTTATAAGTTAAGGCGGAAACCTATGTTTGCATGTTTTGTTGATTTCAGGAAAGCATACGATAGTGTCTGGTGGGAAGGTTTATTTTTTAAACTGATAAACTACGGATGTAGCAGAAAATTTGTCACAATTTTACTGAACATGTATTCCTCTGTTAAATCAGCGGTTAAGCTTGAACAAGGAGTCACACCATTCTTTCAATCTCATGTTGGAGTAAAACAAGGATGTAACCTAAGTCCAACATTGTTCAACCTCTTCATCAACGATATACCTAATTTATTTAATAATTAATACTACTTGTGAACCTGTGAAGTTCGGAGACACTGAGTTGAGTTGTTTGCTGTATGCCGACGACTTGGTGATAATGTCAGAATCGGAATCTGGGCTACAATACTGCCTTCAAAAACTTGAACTACATACTAAGAAATGGAAATTACAAGTTAATCTAAAAAACCCCAAAAATTCTGATTTTCGGGACACAGTATCAAAGACGACAATTTATCTCCACCAAGTGGTTCTTCGGGGACAATCCACTGGATTGTGTGAACGAATATACGTATTTGGGATTAACTTTTCATTGTGGTGGTAACTTTAAGATAGCGACAACAATGTTATACAACAAGGCATTACGAGCTTACAATTGCCTAATGCAGAAACTTTCAAATGTAGAGAATATACCGATTAAAACATTACTGAAACTATTCTATTCGGTAGTGGTTCCAGTTTTATTATATGGTTGTGAAATCTGGGGTGTATGTTTACTGGGTAAAATTTCTTCGTTTGAACTTTTCCAAAAGAGATTTTTCAGTGTGGTGAATAAAATGGAATCACTTCAGTTTGAAATTTTTTAAACGTATACTCGGAGTTCACTCGAAAAGTACAAATCTAGCAGTATACGGTGAACTAGGTAGAGTCCCTCTAATAGTACAGATCTCTACTCTAGTGACAAAGTATTGGATACGAATTAAAGATCCGAATTATATGAATACTCTTGTATAGGAGAGGCAGCGAGTTTTAATATTCGAGCGAATACTCAGGCAGTTAATTTCAGCGGCGGCGGAACAGATTTCGTTCTGGGGGGGCTAAATTTTTTCGGCGACCTCCCTCCCCCCCCCCGTCGCCAAAAAATTTCGGTCAGTGTACCACTTTAGGGGTACAATTATACAAAAAAAGGGACGAAAAAAATTTTTTCGGACTTATATCAAAAAATTTTTTCGGAAATACACTTTTTTTAAACAAAATATTGCAAATTTGTCCCCTTATGCCTAAATTTTCAAAAAATAACCTAAATTTTTCCCTAATTATCAAAATTTTTTGCAAAAATTCAAATTTTCTGGGGGGGCTGAGCCCCCCCACTTTTTCTTCTGGGGGGGCTTTAGCCCCCCTAGCCCCCCCCTGTTCCGCCGCCCCTGGTTAATTTTACAAACCATATATTAAAACTATGTGATCTGGGTTCACTAAACGGTATTTCTCTCCCACTTGAAAGTTTACATAATGTAGGTACATATCTAAAAAATAGATTATCTACTTATTTTACTCATTTTTGGAAAGATCAGATTGAACAAAGTCGTCACAGTGGTAAATTAGCGAGCTTAAGATCTACAACGCGAACTTACGACGCGGACGTCGCATTAAACAAGTTTTATTTTAAAACGATGGCAAATACCATTAAAATATTTTTATCACAGTAAATAAAATGAAATTATACTGGAAAAAATGTACAAAATAACAGAGGCTAGCAATATATTAAGAAGATATTTTTTATCGTAAGTTTTTACGACTTCTATGACGACGAATCTTTGCAAATATCACGTCGTCTCGGATGGTAGTTTTGGCGGGAAAATGTGCATTCGTAACAATAGTCTATAAAGCCTGGTTTCTATCATTTCGTATGGCTGTTAACGTGTCATAACAGTGTCACAAATCTCGCAGAAATAAACTGTGACAACTCTGACTAGGCTTACACTCGAAAACTAGGCTTAGGTAAGCACGTCCGCGTCACAAATTCGCGTTGTAGATCTTAAGCTCCCTATTAAGAACTCTAGTACAAGTTAAGAATAATTTTGTATTTGAAGAATACCTTCATGAAATATGCAATGTTAAGCATCGCCAAGCAATAACAAAAATGAGAATATCTGCGCACAAACTACCGGTTGAATCTGGAAGATATACCAAAACACCATACGAAGATCGGTTTTGTACCTTATGTCAATCGAGTGAAATTGGAGATGAATTTCACTACTTATTATCATGCTCCAACCAAAAAATTTCAGAAACTCGAAATATCTTTTTAAACGAGTTATATGGTATCAATAGTTCTTTCCGCCTATTTGGTACAAATAATTTATTCTTATATATTTTTAATATACATGATAAATCTATCATGAAAATAGTAGCAAAATATTTTCATGAGATTCTTCTATTATATGATAATCAGTGCATTATGTAATCATGCATATATTCATTCATGATATAAAAAATGTTAATGCACTTTTTATAATCTTATATCTTATAACAACTATCACATATAGATACGCTTTGTATCTTTTATTGTATGTAATTTCATATGTGCCTGTATTGGTATTTTGATGAATAAAGATTATTATTATTATTATAATTAAATCATATGGCACATTCAAGATTTTAATATCGTATTTCAGCCGCGTTTATACTGCATGGAGCGCATTTGCTGCGTTATATTAATTTATATACCTTTGTTATATACACAGATTTATTACTAATAAATCAACACTATATCAGATAACATATAAGAACTCACAAAGTGTGACGAAAGCACCGCGTATACTGCTCGAACCACTACGTACTGTATAATGGCGAACGCACCGCGTATAATGGCGAAAGCACCATGTATAATGCTCGAACCACTGCGTATAATAGCGAAACCACCGCTTATAACGCTCGAACCACTGCGTATCGACAAAATGCCGTTTGATCACTTACGCCAGCTATGGCTTGGCTTTCCATAAAAGAAAACCAAAGATGAAAGATGATCACATTGCTTGTTTGCCTTATGCCTGTTTATTAGGCAAGAATAGCCTGCCGGCCCGGAAGCAGTGCATTGTGGTAGGCCGAAATACGCCGAAACGATCGAGATTTCATCTGCCTTATATATATATACATATACATAAAGATTAGGACTGCTGCCTCGCTCGCTCGCTTCACGCTCGCTCGCTACGGCAGCAATAAGGAAATGGCTGAAGCTATAACTGAGAAGGAAATTTCACCGCGTTTTCCTTGTGTTAAGACCCAAGATGAAATTATACTAACCGTCTCGTAATTCTCTTTAATTAAACTTTTGCTACAGCTCCAGTATGGAATGTATGTGTTGTTGGCAATCCCGAAATTAAACAATACATTGTCCTGTATAACATAGAGTTCACTTTGAACTTCTATGCGTTTCCGCTTTCCAAAAGCACGCGGGCGCAACAAAATCAAAATGGCGGAAGAAAAACGCTCAAGCAAGAAACGCGCGAAAGAAGAGCAAAATACTGAGGATGAAAGTGAAGATGAAATGATAGGTCCACTTCCAGTTCAAGCTAGTAAACCAAAGAAAAAGAAAGGTATATTTATAATGGATAGACGTGATTCTTTAATTGCCAAAATGCAGCCTTTTTTAATATGTTCATAACTTCATGTGTAGACATGTGTAGTGTAGTCACATAGACACTGAGACACAGACACTTGTTAGTTGTTGCATGAATACAAACATGGCACCAAAATTGTGACAAATCACAAGGTTTTAGATTTGTTAAATTACTCTTAACGCATTTCGCCAATATTCCACATCAAATTATGCTGAGCATGCATCGCACAACTTCACACCAGAGATATGCCAAAATATTTGTAATCATATGCAAAGATCATTTACATTTACTTATTTTTTGGTCAATATTGATGCCAAAGCAAGTGGTGGGCAAAGAATATTTGAGTTGACTAAACATCAGCTTTTCATGAGTCAAACTAATGTACGAGTCAAATCCAACCGCGATCAGCCCCCCCCCCCGGGCAACCCCAGGGCATTTGACTTAACATTACCCCCGTATAGGCGGGAATTTGACAGCCCGGTCGGGAATTTGACGGCCCGGCCGGGCATTTGACCACTTGACAACAACTTGCTCAGTGCTAGTTTTCCCTAAAAATATGTGTACATTCTAGCGCTTTACGAGTTTTCTATTTTGCGTCTTTTCGATAGTTTGAAAATTGCTTCTGAATCACAAATATCAATCATAGATATATGATACAATATGCCCAGTTGAACAAAAAGAAGAACTGTCTGGCCTATTTTTCGTTCTTTTTAATCTTGAAATACTTGTTCAATTTAATTTTAGTCAAAATTCCAGAAACAGGACTACCCCTATAGCAGGGCATTTGACTGTGGTTTCTGCCTGTTCGGGCGGGCATTTGACCGATTATTTTTTCAAAAGTCGGGTTGCCGGGGGGGGGGGGCTGATCGCGGTTGGATTTGACTCGTACATAATTTAAAATTAAACAATTATGGCCATGTAAAAAAATATCCCGGTCTATCATCAGTGGTAGACCGGGATATTTCCGCTCTCGCGGTCTGCCGGAAATAGTGATTTTAAAAATAAAAAATCCATGTAGCATGAAAAATGGATGCGGGCACTGATGATAACCAAGTTGTATGGGCCGTAATAATTTTATTTAATGTGATTGACGGCATTGACACAATTTTGATCAATTCATGAATTACAAAGCAGAAAACTTCTACATTTTCCAGATTAGACCAAACAAGAATTTGTTGGTTTCAGGTTTCTGACCAACCTGTTAAAAATGCCTCCCACCATAAACATTTTATTTACATACAGGGCTGCAAATAAATACTTGACTTGACAGGACATTTGTCCGATCACTTTTAATTTTGGTCGGACATAGCTTGAATTTGGTCTGACAAAAACCAACACCACTAAATTTGATCAGACATATATACGTCACAAGATATATATAAGTCACAAGACAGCAGTCACAGACATACCGGGTGGCCCAAAAAAAAGTACTCCTGTTTGATTCGTAATAACATCTAAACAAGTATAGCTTTTAAAGAGAAATAACTTGCATCAAATAGAGGAAGGACTAACTTAGACTTTGATATATTACAGTTGTATTTCACTTAAAAATTCACGGAGATATTAATCTTTAAATTGGGGAGGATATTTCTGGATGTGTCTGAAATATGCAAAAATCGGCGTATCAAATATTAATCAAGATTTGCCCGACTGAAACATGCACTATTACCAGTAAATAAATGACACTTGACAAATTGTTTATTATGAAACAAAGTATTATTATATCTATTAATCCTGCTCTAACCGAGAAATAATCAACTTTGTTTTGAACCCATGAAAAACATAAAAATAGGTTATTTTAAGAAAAATTGAAGCGCCTGCCTTGCATGGTCTTTCAGTACCTTAAGTTTGCAAAGACCTATTAAATACTTACATAATTTCGAACGTTCATATTTCAGGAAACAATAAGTTAAGACTTACATGTAAAATGTCTAAATCTACGCCATATCCCTTACAAACCCTAACGACAATTCGCTGAAATACAATTTACCCTGATATGTCATTAAGCAAACAAACGCTGTAGTGAAAATTTGATACGCCGATTTTCGCTAATTTTAGACACATCCCAAAATGTGCTCCCGATTTTGAACATTAATATCTCCGTGAATTTTTAAGTAAAATACAACTGTAACATATCAAAATCTAAGTTAGTCCTTCCTCTATTTAATGCAAGTTATTTCTGTTTGATAGCTTTACTTGTTTAGAAGTTATTATAAATCAAACAGGAGTACTTTTTTTTGGGCCACCCGGTATATATAGCCATTCTGGCAGAACCTTAAGTAAAGTGCTAGAATGACTCGTAAATTTTATTGCAGAATGCAAATTGAGTGAATTTGCAATCGGATTTTGTCACAGCAAAAAATGTATAGTGTGACAGGTTTTTTTTGTGATCAGACCAATGTCCGAATTGCCAAATTTAGTTGGACATTGTCCGATGTCCGACAATAATTTGCAGCCCTGTACATATAAAAAGTAAAGCTTTCCTTCTTTACAACAATATGATTTCTATTTAACATTTTGTCTGTCATAATTGTGTCTACGATGCAAGTTAATGATATTTCAAGAGAGGCTTGGACCTAACTTGTCTCACATACATGGAAACAAGGCTTAAAAGGCTTTTATGACCAAATTATTCACTTTCTGGCAGGGTTTTGAAATCTGTGGTGTTTCCTGCAATCTGATTAGCTCTTTGCAGTGCGATTTTGAGCATGAATTGCACTCTTAGCATCAGCCTTAGTTGTACATAATGCAGTTGCAGCAAACAAAGTCAGTACTTGAAATGTTCCAAAATTTGTAGTTTGTCATCTCACTTTTATATATGTTTAAAAGATTAGTGAGTGACTTGGGACAGATTTTATAAGTTGTACATGATTTTTGCTTAGTTCTCTTTCTTTCTGTTTTAAGTGGCTTAGTTATTCCAGCCCAATGCCTGTAAAGCAACAGATTGATCTGTGTCAACAATGTCATCGCTCATATGTACTTATGATAATTTCAGCAGCTCTATTTTGGAGTTTTTGAAATCTATAAATGTTTGCACATGGTTTGGTTGATGTTGTATATCCTTCCTATGTCTGTAATAAATAAGTTTAGTTCCTTCTATTTCTGTTTGCTTTTGTTTATACTGTAAAATGAAAGTTCAGCTTGTTTGATTTTTGCTATTCTATGGTATTCAGGGAGTATCGCAGGTGTGTTTGTAAATTATACAGAATAATTATAATTGTAAATTATACTGTTTCCAGTGTCCAAAATTGTTTCCGGTTTTAAAATGAATTCAGATTTGAAGCAAATGTTGTATAATTATAACTACCTAAATTCTGAGAAAAGAAATGGAACATTAGATCTTCCACTAACAATTTTACAGCTAACCTCTGAAATATTTAAATAATTATCAAATTTAAGTACTTCCATGAGATAATATGGAGTGGCACTTGCTCTGCTCTCTGCAAAGAATATACTCCTCAAACACTTATTTTGTTTAGTGCTAACTTTAAACTTTTGTTAAACTAGATTTACTGTACATAATTATGCATTTCCCCAACTCATTACTCCATAGATTAAATAAGTATAAATAAGTGCATAATATGGTTGCTTAATACAGGCACGGATTTTCTGGGGGGGGGGGAATGGGGGGGAGGGTGTGCACCGAAATGATTTGCACCATTTAAATCGGCTATCGTCAGTTTCATTGGGTAACAATATACGGTAGGCATGCATGCTCAATCAAGAACAATTTGGTTGTTTGAAATTTTTATCTGTACATTTTAATGACACACAATTGGAAAATTAAAAAGCAAAAAAATTTTCTGTTTGCAAAGCAAAAATTTCCCGCCAGATAAACGACATCCGGGACACCGGTCCAGATACGGAAAATACGGACCACGGTCCGGATATGGGTTTTTACAGACCGCTTGTCAACCAATCAGAATAGAGAATTTTGAAAAGCCATATAATAAAGAACATTACATTTGTCCATTTATTTTATAAATTTATCTTTGGCTATTATGGTCATGACTTAGTCAGTGGTCTAATGGCTTTATAATATCACGTGGTGTCATTGATGATAAAACTAAAACTAATGTACTTCTTTTGCAGTTTTCAAATAACTGAAGAATCTTGATTTACGTGTGGGTATTCTCTTTAGGCCTAAAAAAATACCTGTGGTTCCGGTTTCCCGACCGACCCTATTTTTTTCTCCCGACCCTATTATTTTTTCGACGCGTGCGACCCTACTTTCTCCGGATGGTTGCGGGCTGCTCATACAGCGTGCCAAAATGGCCTCTGTTGTCACAATAATTATTGAACTAAATTGCCTAAATTCGTCCATAGGAAATATGAATCTCTAGTTAATATCGATGTCGGGACTGAATATCGCCCAGGATAAAAACGCCAAAACCATGAAAAAACTATTCAAAAAAAAAATTATTTCCCACCTTTTTAGGCCTTATGCATGTGTACTGTAACTTTGTTGAACGCTTCAGTTCTAGAATTTGAACAAGTATATCTGGACAACTTACCATCATCAGAATCGTACGAGAAAAGTTACATGCATCGTGATTTCATCACGCACATTGTGGCCACAGGGTAAGTTTGTAGACACATGCATATAATACTTATCACTTATTTACTGAGACCGAGGGAAATAGTGTGTTTTGTGGACCCGAGACAGACATCGACGGTCGAGAGTCCACAAAACACACTGCTTTCCCGAGGTCTCAGTAAATAAGTGTTTTAATTTATATCAATAGTCAAAGAAACAACAAATTAAAGAACAAATGAACGTAAATACATGAAATATTTTATTGTTAAAACGTTATATTAAACAATGGCTACACTGCAGTTACTTAAAGCGAAAGTTTTAATTACGTACTAGGCATGTCCAAAGGTCGCACCTTAACGTGATGGCGCACGTGATTTTTTTTGTTATTCGCCGGTCGATAACGTATTATCTCCCTCTCGCGCTGTTGCGAGGGAGACAGCCTAATTTCGTCACTCTCACGTGATATGCTCTCAACCAATAAAACACTAGAAAAATGCGACTTTGACTATTGATATATAATAATGTTTATTATGCACTCACGCGCACTTAACCAATCAGTGATCGTTGAGAGGGTCACGTGCCGATCCAATATTTTACGATATTGGACAGGAACCTATTGGACAGTTGCGAATCGTGGCTTTTTTCATGGTTTTTCAACCCTTTTCAGATGTTTTGTCAATTCAAACATACGACAAGCGATATGGCAGCATAATGAAAAGAATTTGGGACATTAATACAGTTTTTTCTACCAGTTTTGTGTCGCGAAATTCATTTGTTTGCAACATGCAGCCTCGACGTTCCAGGTCAAATTTCCTTTAAACATGGAATTGAGTTTATTTATGCACACATATTTGTAAAATATATATATATATATATAGTAATGTTGTCGCTGTATTATTTTATCGCTTATTGTCAATTTTTTGTTATAGAATTGTTTTGTTCGATATAATAAAACTCTTATTGGATTCATCTTCGCCCAATATGGCAAAATATTAAGTCTCGACTTCAATATTAGGCTCGACCTTCGGTCTCGCCCAATATTGAAGTCTCGACCTAATATTTTGCCATATTGGGCTCAGAAGAATCCAATAAGGTATACTAATAAGTTGTTTCTAATAAGTTGGTTCCGATGTCGCAAGGAACAACTTTTAGCGATAAATTATGAAATTTATTGGCTCGCCAACGACTTGCACTGTGCTGTGGAACATCGCATAAATTGCTTTTCCGCGTTTGACGTCATTACTTGAAAGGTATTTCAAACACTCATTAATAATTCATAAGCTTATTGGCAAATCATGTCAACCATGCAGTGGCTTTAAATCTGATAAAACACTCCTAATTAGTATTCTTTATATAAAGAATACTAATAAGGCAGTATCTATTGTAGTCGTGTCCTCGTTAGTATTTTTTATGTAAAGAATACTAATAAGGCAGTAAATCTATTGAATTTGTAGTCGTGTTTGAAGCCGTTTAATAAACTCGCAGGTCGTGTTTTATTAGGTCTAAAGCCACTCGCGCTGCGCGCTCGTGGCTTTAAACCTAATAAAACACTCCTGCTCGTTTATTAAACAGTACATTACTGTTGCTAACGGTGGACCGCGGATGGAACTTTTTGCTATCCGGCCAAATACCGAATATGCCAGATAGCTGAAATAAATCCGGCCAGATACCGAATGGTTTTAATGAAAGGCTCGGCTTCATTTAAGATTCAATATAGTTTTAATTGGTTAAAACGTGAAGATGTTTATAATATTGTGACTTGAAATATGAAAATGTTTCAAGTATCCCAATACCAATTTCACAATTGTCATACTTATAAAGCACAACTTGCATGCAGGTTTCGAAATGTTTCTAATTTTTTGCCTGTCCATCGAGACAGCTTGTAAATGTGTATTTTTACCTGTCTCCTCCGTTATTCAGCCTGTACAATATTTATGACAGGCAGTTATATTTGATGTACCTGTACTTACTCTGAAACGAAACACGCACCAACTATTCTTGCCCATACAATGTAATAATTGAGTAATGACGTTTTAAAAATGAAGTCTTTAAACTTAATACTTTTGAACAGCTTTTTCCTGCTTGTATTAGTGCCAGCATGCGGTTTTAAGGCCCGCACGTGAATTCTTCCGTTCGTTTTATGTTCAAGCAATTTTAGTTCTGTCTGGGTGATATGTTATGTAAAATACTTTACATGCCATTGTTTTTTATATTTACACAGATAATTTTCGTTTATTTTACAGGACTGACTTCTTAGTCACTGCCAGCTGTGATGGTCACGTGAAATTTTGGAAGAAAACTGAAGAAGGCATAGAATTTGTTAAACATTTCAGGAGTCATTTGGGTACGGTACAGTACTGTATATGGTTACAGAAAGTAGCTTTAGGCGCTGTTGCCACCTGCCTTGCAACTTGCCTCACCTGTCCTCCAAGACAACTCCCCCAGCACCCCTCATTCAATGTTGTTCGGTCACATGCATTATTGCTGTGCCAGATTTCCAGCTATTAAAACATTGGGGAAGGGGGGTGGGGGGTGGATGTGATATGTAAGGAGAGAAACGTCGGTCGTTCTATGGTGTTTGGCCAAGATTGTAGGTGTAATTTGCCTTAATCATCAAGTCTGCCAACATTTTCGCATCGAGCGTCGCACTACCCTGGATCAGAGAGTAAAAACTCGCCTGACACCATGCAGAAAGCCTCTGGACCCGGGGTAGCGTTGGGCGAGCTACCTAGAACCATTGAACTATAAGTAACTGGAATGATAAGTCAGGGGGGGATTGAAACCATGCTTTGTAGATAGTGCCAGTCCCTTTTTGCAATTTAAAAAAAATGCACTTTTTATATCGATACATTTTCCCCATTTAATTTCCTTTCCCCATTTAATTTCCTTTCCCCATTTCCTTTTTCATTTTAGAGCATACCAAGACAAGTTAATTTTTTCACTCAAGTGCTCACAATAAACAAAAATCGTTCAACTTCTAAAATATTACAGGGCCAAAACAAAATTTGTCAAAAAGCTGGGCGAAAATATTTGGTTTTTCTGAGTTATGAGGCTTTCCAGAAAGAGTTGGGAGATATTATACTACAATTTATGTAGAAAAATATTAGATATTAAGTACCCACGGCTTACTTTTAACAGTTAAAAAAAGGATTATCAACGCTAGCTTGGCTGCCATATTCAAATGCTCATAATGGCCAACAAGAAGATGCGATGACGAAAATAACAGCACTTGAAAAACGTCAATTTATTCATATTTAGAAGGAATAAAACAAGGACTAAAAGCTCAGGATAAATAACAATACCTGGGATTTAGTACAAAATAAGTTTTGGGACTGTCGAAATGTTTTGTAGTATATTTTTTTGAGTTGAAGAGCGAAGTTTCTTTCGGCACGTCCACACTTTCGTCATTTCTTCAAAATACAAAAGCAAAACCCCTCACTTTTTCTGCGGACAGATGTAAAACAGTCGTAACTAATCGGAAAACCAGGTTTGAATCACAATCATTGCAGTATTCCCATGGAAAAAGTGTTTCTCTTGCAAATATTCGCTTAAAAAACAAACTTTTGACCGAATTTTTTCACTTCTCGAAACTCTCCCTAGTCCTTTTGAAAGCTGATTTTCCCGCGCGTCAGCTTCAGCGAATCATAGGCCTTTATCACAGGAGTTATCATTCCAGTTTAGTAGTTTACTTATAGTTCAATGGCTAGAACCAGGTTTTACGTTTTGCAATTATTAAAGCAACGCTGTATGGAAAGCATTTTTCCTCGAAAAAAGTGACTATCGATGGCATTTTTTTGTTACAAAGAAAAAAACACACAAACTGTCGTCGGGATGTGTTTGGAGGAGAGTGTTGTTGCCTTTAGGCTGTTGCGGTATTTGAAAAAAACCGAAAACCGATACCGGAAAAAAAATACCGATAATATACCGATATTTTTTCGCGATTGTAATTTGTTTAATTTTATGCCAAATTTGCTTAATTTTGCGCAAATTTTCTGTTTTCAAATAACGCCAAACAGGCGCGGCATATTGGGATATAACAACAGAGATGTTTTACTATTTTTGTAACTTGTATTTATTAAAAGATGTTTAACAATATAGTTCTATTTACAAATTTTCTGCCAGAAACACAAGCATATTTGCTTGTTCTGGCTTTAGCTGAGACCTTTGTGCGGTGACAATCTGACCGGCTTTACTGAACAGTCTCTCAGACGGCGAACTGCTTGCAGGAATTGACAGATATTTTCGTGCCAACTGACTGAGCATTGGGAAGTCTCGACCGTGGCATTTCCACCACAACAAAGGATCATTGTCGCCATCGATTGTGTCTGTATTCACGTATTTCTTCATCTCCTTTTCCAATCGATCCCGCGGCGACTGCGCTGGCGATGACACTTGAGACGATTTCCGCATGCTAGTGATGGAGCCAAGCGTCTTCTTGACTTTCTTCTGTGGTGGTTGGCATGGTTCATCTTCAGATGCATTGCTTGTGACGAACACAGCTTCCTTTAAAAGAGCATTCTTGACAACAGCAAACTCGCTTGAGCTTGACTCGACCATCGATTCAACATCGCAATCTTCGTCGTTGTCAGTAAAAAAGTCGGTCTGCAAAATATATATAATATAACAAATATTAGAATTAGTAATTAATTACCAACTGTAGAGTAAACAGTTCACTTCAAAACCCTACAATACAGGCGAGCCGCTTACGCTAATTTTTGCATATTTCTTAATTATGTTGCACACGAAATATGCAGTTTTATTAAGCGGCTAATACTGTACCTTAAATCTTGGGTCAAGAAAGCACGTGATATCCATCAACAGTTTTTTTTCTTCACATGAATATTTGACTTGAAGGGCTTTCAATATCTTCTTCTTAATGGACACGGTCATTGGCAGGTCTCCATTCTTTGCAGCGAGTTCTTCGTTTTTGAGCCGACGAAGGATTGGTGTGAGCGCTGATATTGTCACATATTCGCTTCCACTCATGATGTCGGTGAAATCAGCAAGGGGTGCAAGAGCGGCATCGACTGCTTCCAAGACTTCAATGTCTTGCCACTTTGGCACCAAGTGAGC